AGGCATTTCCCACACAGCTACCTGGCAGCGTGGTGTGTTTTTTGATCCCAGGAGATCCCGTGGCAGCAGTGAGCATAGCCTAAAACCAGAGCCTGTCTGGCCAGAGCCATGGTCTAGCTGCTGGCTGGGCTTCCAGCTGCAGGAGTACTATGGCTGCAGCTCTCCAAGGTGCCCAGGACCCCAGGTAAGGCTTCTGGAGCCAGCACAGGGCATGTGGCATGGGTATTCACTGGAAACAAGTAGCAGTGGCACAAGGTGTGCCGCTGCTACTTGTCCCAAGGGAAACAAATGTTCACGGTCATGTGGACGTGGCCAATATGGCCAACATCCCAGTGCTTAGAGGAAGCCTCCAAAAAAACCCAGAAGGTAGTAGACTTTTATCTTTCCTACTTCCTGCAGGCAAACAAAAGCCCTGAGGAATTGAATTACCAGACATCTACCACATTTTAAGAAAGTTAGAGCTGTACCTCAACATAGGGATTGTATATACTTGACCTTATATATAACCAGGGTTGGATCCACTGGGGTGCAATGGTGCAGCTGCACTCCCCTTCGATTGTTGCTGTACCCAAACTTTAAAACCAACTACCTTCATAGCTCATTATCATCTCCCTGATTCCTGCTAATCTCTCTCCACTCCATGGGTGATAATGATCCTCTGTCTTTTTAATGGTCCTGCTAACCTACTGTTCAAACTATCCTTTCTTCTGCCATTTTGTTGTCTGTTAGCCATTCCTGGTAATGTCTCTCTTCTATTTCGTAGCCTGAAGACTGTTTTTAGTTCTAGGAAAAACCTTAACTCAGGTGTAGAAATGGCTAACAGGAAGTATTGGCGGTACTATCAAGACACTCGAGAAGAGTAGATTTTGCTTTATGAATCTGAATAAGAGATGTACATTTAATTATAATGACTACCGGACTTAATGATACAATATATTTTGATTATTTTGCCTAGTTTATTGTGTTTTTTAAACTTTATAGATAATCTAGCAAATTAGTGCACATTTAATTAGTTATATTGGTTTTCGCTTTGACCTTAAAATGCATAATATGGTGCTAGCATATTAGCAAAGCATCTGGTTTTCCTTTAAGTAGATAAAAATGTGTTGTGTATATGTGATGATGTGCCACACTATCTGCACCTCCCTTTTCAAAATCCTAGCTTTGTCTATGCATATAATACAAGGTAATAGTTGACCCAACAACTTCTTTTCCCATAATATTATGCTTTTGATAACTTATCTAGTTCAATTTAAAAACAGTTCCGGTTCTTTGTCCCCACATGAGGAAACACTTTCTAGTCAATAAATCAGAAAATGGGATAACAAATTGGACACAAACTGAACAGGTGGGTTGTAAGCCAGTAGACTACCAGACTGTTTTTGCCTATAGTATGAAAGGAAACCAGGCAAGTCAGTTGGCTGGTAAGCCCAGCAGCCTACTTGCCTGTCTGCCTTTCTGTCTTGTTTTGAACAAAAGCTTTGACAGAAACATGTTCATCGGAATCTTTTGATTCCATCAAATCATCATTTTCCTATGGACAATTGTTCCCTTGGAAAGCTTTCAACCACTCTAAACTGCTTTCTATGCTTCCTTTGCCAGACAGTTGCTATGTAATGCTAGGCAAATCACTTAAACCAAACTTTTGTTCCTGGTTACTCATTTTGTGACACCCCCCCCATTTCCTAATACTCTTCTTGGGCCCCTGGGAGCTGATTTGCAGAAGTCCTGAATGCTCATAGCTTCAACAGATTTCAATGGGAGTTGCGCTTTGAAAATGCATCATTGTGTTGAATATCCTGGAAAAGTAGGTTCTAGATGTACCTAATTGAGTAGACATTTTTTATTTCTTTGGAAATTTTTAATTTACATCTCCTTCATTGGAAGTTTTTTTTTTAATTTTTAAAGAATAGGCCAGATAAGCATTTGTTAGGGATAGTTTAGGAATAGACAGCTTGCATCTGTGCAGGCAGTTGGACTAGATGATATTTGAGGTCCCTTCCAATGATTTTAATAACACTTTGCTTCAGTTTCCCATCCGGAAATTGAAGGTCATACCACACTATTGGGAGATGTAGGGTGAAAAATGTTTGTAAAGCACTGGGTACAGTAGTGATAAATACACAGAAATGCTCACAGGGAAGTTAGTAATTCTATATTCAGACCAAGGTATGAATAGAGCAGTAAATAAGGCATATTGCCATATATTGAGAAATGAGGATAAAATGAATATTGAACAGCTGCCCATTCTTATGACCAGTTTTCCTGTACACCAAATGAGAAAGGAAATCTGTTTGTGGTTTTTTTTTTTAAATGTAATTGAAGGCTGTAACAACATGCATATGTATAAGAGGTTGAATTGTGTTGCCTTTTCTTAGGCATTTCCTAATCATGAGTGCTTGATCATACAACCTTATTGTTCTTTCAAGGTAGCTGTATGTAATTATTAATAAAGTTGTATTTTCTAGAAATGGCTCTGTGTGTGTGTGTGTGTGTGTGTGTATCTGTGTATCAATAAGCACAGAACTCCATATATGACTGTAAGTGCAAGTGTCAAGCTAGTGGTTTTGTCCCTCCTGTCTTTACATTATTTCCTATTAATTTGTTCACTTTTCATTTTCCCATTTTCTTTTGTATGTAGCCTTAAATTTTCAGAGGACAAAACAATTCCATGGCTTGTTTTGTGTTTTATTACCTTTTATAATGATGCAATGTTCTATTTCTGGGTTCTTGCCGGATAGTGGCATTTTCCCAATGGTAGACAGCTCTGTAACAGCTACTCCTACAAATTTATCTAGCCTACTGGCTTTTAAAAAAATATTTTCTGTTTAATATGATTTTGTTTTTTTTCCCCTTCTGCTTTGCTTTCCTCCCTCCATCCAATTATCTTTTAAGAGCATTTGGTTTTGGAAATTAAGTTATTGGAAATACTTAAATGTGTGTAAATGTTTACAAGGCTGGAGCCCTAGTTGGTATCATTTACAGTATCAATGTCATTCATAATCATGGGGGTGGAATGCAGAGAGAGAGAGGATTTAAGACACTAATCCAGGAAGTAAATTATTTATTCTTTTCTCCAAAGGCAATGTCCTTGGGGGAAAAAAATTCTCTCTGTGTTATAACAACAAAGCAGTCATTACGGTATGACTAAAATTAACCAGGGATTATAGACTTAATTTTGCTGCCTTATCCAAAGAAAGAATCCTAATTCACAGGCAGCCCAACTTTACTATTTTATCCCAGGAAGGTAATGGTGCTTTATATTAAGATCTCCACCTTAATGTCTTTTCACTCTCTTTAAATTTTTTTCCCCCCTCTGAGTGGTATAAAGACCTTCTACAGGTTTTTCTGAAGTTCTGGCATGAGCGACGGGTGCCTTCTGAGTCAGAGGGGTCCCCCTGCAGCTGATCGCACTGACCCAGAAGTGCCAGCAACGCTTCTCCTGGTGCCCCTACTCCCCAGCCGTCGCTTTCAGGGGGAGCACCAGCGCTCCCACCTGCCCCCCTGTCCATCGCTTAAGTGGGGAACGCTGGCTGGCAGGGGGTGCACAAGCGCTCTCAGGGGGTGGATGTGCACCCTCATGCACCCCCTACGCGCTGCCACTGAGTCCTAGCTTTAACTTTTGTATTAAAAACTGCACGCGCATATCCAGAGAAGCTGTAATGGGGCAGTTGTACCCCCTCTTTTGGATTGCACTGTACCAGGGGAGCTTTGGGGGACTTCTAACTCTTTAAAAAGAAGTGAAAACCTTCCTCCCCTGCTTTTCCCCACTTTCTCTGCTTTCTCACTGTCCCAGGGGTGGGGGAAGCACCAGAGCCGCTCCTGTCTGGTGTAGCCAGGCTGCATGTGGGCTGATCTCAGTTGGGGACAGCAGCAGTGGGGATGGGTTGAAGGGAATCCCCTTCAGCCTGCCTGCTCCCAGGGGATGGAGGACAGAGTGAAGAACTACTCTCCGGCCCTGATGTTGCCCCTGTCCCCTCCCCAGATGAGGCCAGCCTGGCTGGGTGGGGAGGAACAGCTCTGGTGCTCTCCCAGCCCCCAAAACATTCGGGAAAGCAACAATGGCAGCTGTGGAATGGGGAGGGAAGGGAAAGGAGGTGGGACTTGTCACCTGCTTTAGAGACCTAAAGTCCCTGCGGGCTGTCGAGGACAGTCTGTTCGCATGGGTGGGGAAGGAAGCAGGGAGCTAGGGGTACAGTCACCCCCACACCTCTCTTTGGGAAATCCTAGATCCACCCCTGAATAAAAGTTTGGCCACATTTGATCTCGGGGTAACCATGATTTGCGTGTTTTAAGCGAATGCTAGATTCCAGTGAGAGTGGGCCGTGTGTGTTTGAGCGTATGTTTAAGTGTGTGAGCATGTGTCTAAATGAGCATGTCTACACATGCACCGTTACTTGGCAGTAACTTAAGTTACCTCTCAGTGGCCAAAAATCACTGCGCAGTCCGCACACTGTGCAGTAACTCTGGTGACATGCACCGATTTGGGTGGAAATTTGCTACCTGCATGAGGCAGGTAGCAAATTCCCACCTGAGTGTTTCCTGCACAGTGACAGGGGTTTAGGTTGTAGTCGTGTTGGTCTAAGGACATAGATGCCTTACTGCACAGTATCCCTATTTGTGTACCCAAGTCCGTCCAGACACAGACTTACTGCGCTGTAACGCCTGCGCGTGTAAACCCAACCCTCCCCATAAAAGCCCGGTAAATGCACGTGTCGACACGCGCGGTGTGTGCGTGTAGCTGTGTCCCTAGATGCCATTCAAGAAAGGTTTGGGCGCTATGAGGTGGGCTGCAACCTGC